AGAGAGAGAGAGAGAGAGAGAGAGAGAGAGAGAGAGAGAGAGAGAGAGAGAGAGAGAGAGAGAGAGAGAGAGAGAAGCGATACAGATTGGTTGTGCGGTCCAAGGAGGAAGAAAGCGGCCATAGTGCGGTCCAAGGAGGAAGAAAGCAGCCATAGCCGCGGATCTCGGACACAGAGAAAGGAGGCAAGGAGACGAACGAGAGAGAAGGGGGGAGAGGCAAAAGAGAAGAGAGAAGCCATAGTTGAGGAAGAGGAAGGAGGGACGAAGAAGAAGAGGGAAGACATAGCCAGGGTGAAGGAAGAGCAAGGCGAGGTAGGAGAAAGAAAGGAGGAAGAAGAAGAAGGGTGGTGAGGAAGAAGAAGGCGGCAGCCATAGCCGAGTTGGAGGTTGACCGGAGCGTTCACCGGGGGTTTGACCAGCATTGACCAAGTGTTAACCAAGGCGTTGACCAAGGCTGTTCACAGCGACTTTGACCAAGCTGGAGTTGGTATATTCTCGCCAAGCCCTCAGCCTATCCCCTCGCCCGATGGATGTGCACTCACCCTATGGTACTTGCTGAGTCTGTTTCTCTTCTTTCTACATTGAGTCTCTTCTGTCCAGGTGATAGGAACTCAGTGTATGAAGGATAGAGCCTTGTTGACCAAACCCACACGGGCTGAATAGGGCTAAAGGCCGTGTCTGACGACTCGACTGTCCCGGAGGACACGAACCCTCCCAAGGACCGGTACTGACCGGCGGGCTGCTCAGTGTGGCACGGTAGGCCCAAAATCCGAGCTGTGGGCTGCACAACAGACTGTCTAAGTCTTGAGAGGACTTGCTGATCGCGTCGTCCTGTCTGCGACATTAAATAATTCCTGAGGAGTTACGGGGGATCTCCTTAAATGCCTCCTGATCAGCAACAAGTCCTGTAGTGACAGCCATAGTTTAGGTCCAGGCTAGAGACCCTACTTGACAAGATCCTACTTGGGTTCTGTGGTCCTCTAGATTGAGTCTAGGTCTAGTCAGTCAGGTGCCGAGGTCTAAGCGGTGAGGTTTGGAACCGTTGTCCGATTGTACACTTATCACCATGGTTGACACTCGCAGTGGGAAGAGCACCATGCCGTATAGTAAGGCTCAAGCGGAGCAGACCGCCACCATACTGAGAGAGAGAGAGGAGAAGAAGGAGCTCCTTAGACCGGCAAAGATGATGATGATAGCAGAGGAGCAGGCGAAGAAAAAGAAGCTAGAGGAGGAGATGCAAAGATTGCAGCAAGAGGAGGAAGAGAGAATGAGAGTTGCAGAGGAAGAGCAGCCGAAAGAAGAGCCCCTCAGAAGAAGAAGACTGGGGGAAGGAGGAGAGAGCAGTGGCACGAAGGACGATGACCCGTGGGAGTAGAAGAGGATAAGTGAGTGGGTGGCTAATTTATCAGTGGGAGAAGATGAAGACGCGATGCTATATATACCTCAAGAGGAGAAGGAAGCAACAATTAGGGAGATCGAGGTGACGAGTGATCCCCTAGAGTGCCAGGCAATAGAGAATGAGAAAAGGTTGGACTGGAAGTTACGCTTGGCGAGAGAGAAGAAGAGGAGGACGGAGGAAGCCAACCGGGCGGCCAGAGAAGTGGAGAGCTTACAGACATGTAGGCAGGAAGTAAAGGCCCAGCCTGACATTCAGGCTAAGTTAGACAAGATCCTTGGGAGCATCGAGCTCCTAGTTGATAGAGTAGCGTGTTAGTTAGAGTGCGTGTGTGTGTGTGGGATATCCAGGGTGATCCAGAGTGAGTGAGTGCGAACAGAGGTGTTGGACAGAGTGACGAGAGATGGGTTGTACAGCCGCTGATGCACCATAGCCCGTTGAAGCGAGCTTGTATCTGAACTGTGTTTTCGACTTCCATATCACTGAGCTTGAGTGGGCGTCGTGCGCCAGTGTGATTCGCCATCTGTTTGCATGAGTGCGAAGTGGGAAAGAAAGCGAGTCTGATTGCACTTCCCCTCTTCAAGACCAGAATAATGCACCCTTCAATCATTTGGTGGAGTCCCCAGCTAACTGACTTTTCGTTAAATTTGAAATATTTTGCTCACTCAGCGAAATTTGTTTATTTTCAAATTTGGTGCCAAAACTTAGTCTTACTTAATGCACACCGCCTCCAATCAAGGAAACCAATCATCTTGAAGGGTCAAAAGTGACAAAAAAAAAAAAAAAACTTCAATCTCATCACGTGTGCAGAAGATTTCAAATTTAACGAAAACGTCGAAAAGTCAGTTGGCTGATGGCACCCTGTCCTCGAACCACTGGTCAGAGCCATCAGCATCATTGCAGTCACCAAAGTTTGGAAGATCCTCCAGAGACCAGAATGCACCTCCTCCTGACGTGCAATACGTCAAGCCTAATGTTCTCATTATGCCACAGGCAGGCCATCAAAGCAGGTGGGGCATCTGCTCCCCGCACCGCGGGCATTCACACAACCAACCAAACTTGTTTGATTAAGAAGAAAAAACTTGCCACAGAAAGGCGGATTTCACAAAAACAAACAGCTCCCACAGTTTGTTTTTCCTACTTGTATTCTTGTCTCACACATTCTTTCACCAATGCATACGACGTAACAATAATGGCACAAGGAGAAAACAGTTTACAGCTAGGCTGTTTTTCGGGGCGCCCGGGCACCCAACTTCTGCCCGGGTACTCGCCCGGGTGCCTGGCCGGGCATGACCCCCTGACATGGTTATGGGCAGCCCCAGCACCCCCCAAAAGAAAAAACAAAAAAAAAAAAAAAAACTTTCCAAAACCAAAATGTTGTGTAGAGTTGAAACACAAACGACTTTTGGCTGAGGGTCACATTA